AATTGAGGGAATGTTTAGTAAGGAGACAAGGTATCAGTCAAAATGATCCTATCAGAGACCAACATTGAAGGATAAGTGATAGAAGCAAACAACTAAACTTTGGTTTTTGTATGTTTGTGCAATACCTGTGTAAGAGCTTAATACTGCAACTAATTGGTACTGCAGCATGCAAGACCTCAGTTCAAACAAGTCTTATCTAAAATTTAAATGTTATGTGGATATTCAAACTAAAATCTGTCATTTACAGTGTGTCCAACAACATTATAGAACCTTGAGCCCTTTGGATGTTGCTGTAATATGAACACTGCATGTGAGAAACTAGTATTAGAGGTTTTAAAATACTAACATGACTCACTGATATTAAAGGGGACAAATAAGCACAGTAAGGTACAATATCACCAGACTAATCAGCTTTTTGGAAAACTTTGAAATTCTAGGACAATTTATTGAATGCATCCCAATTTTTGTAATTTGAGTTTGTCTAATATAAGAATAAAAATGAAGTATTAAATGTTAATTTACAGTGTAAATCAAATTGGATATAGTTTGCTTTGAAGACCTTTTGTAGAAGTGATCAAATTTGTAATATTAAAATCAAAATAGTTGCATACAAGGGGAAATATGCTATGCCTCTTAATCAGTAGCTTGTGATACTTAACATTAGCAAATGTGAACAGCAGTGTCTTCCTCAGAGACTTTCCTCTGTTCCCCTCATCCTGGATATAAATTATACTTCTCTGCTCAAGTTCATTGATTACACAGTTGGAAACAACAAAATTTCAGTCATTTATAGTACCAAACTATCCTTTGCCTTAAATTGGTTCAAAGCCAACCTCCTTAAGTTCTTTAATTATATAAAAAATGGTAACCATCTTGCCAATGCTTTTTGTTTTGATTTCAAAGTAGGTATAAACAGGTGCTAATTAGTTAGCCTTTTGGGTTTTTTTTTTAAGTTAGTAATGTTAGCTAGGAATAACAGATTAAAGAAGCTCTTAACAGTAGCTACCTGCAGGTAGCTCAAAACTTAAAAGGGGGGAATATTCTGCATTACATTTTGCACATCTTTTAGAAATTTATATTTTACTTAACTATCTTGATGGTTTATTCACTCTTTGATAACTTGCCATATTTGTATGAAAAGAGAACAAGTCCTAACATACCAATCAGAGCAAAAGCAAATAGCACATACAGTCCTATTTCTGCATTCTGTGAAGTTAAATTTAATCCTAAAAATTGTACTTTTCCACTGGATGCATTGTTCATAAACTCCCCTGTGCTAGCAGTTGGTGAAGTAATACCTGGAAAGACAAGAATATAATATCAGTGCCTCTTCTTTATCAACTACTTAATGCACACTTTTTAGCACCAATCATTGGTACCTAGCTCCCAGAACCCACTTTTGAAAACACCAGAAAAAACATGCAACAAAATAACTTTGAATGTCACTTTGTCTGTCATGCTAGAGATCATTTTCTATTGCATAGGGAAATGTTGCATTTAAAGGGTCACATTTTCCAAAGAATACCAGATACTTTTGTTTTCAAAAGCATCAATAAGTAAAAGGTATCAAACAAGTATAACATACAGTAAAGAAAACAAAACTGTACATGTTAGATCAATTTGTCTTAGGTGTTTTGGACCCCACTTTGTGAACTGAAATTCCTAGTTCTCGCTGTAGCAAAAAAATGTTTAATTTATGAAAATGTAAAGTAATATTTGAAGGTAAATATAGCAGCCCCACATAGTTCAACATGAAAAACATCAGTTCCCATTGTATTCACCAGTACCAGTTCATTTAGCAATTACTATAACTGAACCTCCACAGTGGATTCTGCTGGGGCTGTAGGGAATTCTACAAAATACTATATTTTATTACATAAAATGAAAAAAAAATCATTGTGATGCTCTTAGCCATTAATATTAATTCCTATGTTCTGTTTCTAGTTACCTTCAGGCTGTGACTGAAGACAAAAATGTGGTCCATTTGCTGGGTCTGGAAAGCCATTGCATTGTATAATTGATGTGTAATATTTTGAAGATTCTTTAGGAATCCTGGGCAGATTGGGATCACTGTAGTTGATATAATACAAACCAAATTTTTCAGCAAAGCCTACTGCCCATTCAAAATTGTCCATCAGAGACCATGCAGTGTAGCCTCGGAGATCAACACCATCAAGTACAACAGCTGTTGAGATGAATCAAATGTGAAAGCATGATCATGTAGATATTTAACTTATTTTACAGGTTGCTATCTACCGTTTATCTTGGCATCTGTAAATATGGACGGCAATTCAATATACTACCAAGACAACATGCATAGTGCTTGGAGGAATTAATTACCTTACACCCCCCACATTTCATATGTCTTCATTTCATTCACTTTGCTTATCTTTGGTGTGTAACTCATTAATTGAACCTCCTCATGGCTCAGCAAGCCAGTATTCTTTGATGGCTGGTATCTTGTGCTTCAGAACCTACAACTTGTCATTTTAAAAAAGTGAATCTCTTTCAGATGATGAAGAAAGCCTTCGCGTTGCAAATAGTGTATAAACTACTCCTGTGATTTCTTCATTGGTGGATGAGAGATGATTATACTTTGACATGCCCAGATCAGAGTTCTAATGGAAGATCATTTATCAGTTCAAAGGCAGTATTGTGCCTCTTACAAAATTAACCCTAAGGGAAGCCAGCAGAATCCTCTCCCTACTCTCACATGAAGGGAGAGGGAGTGAAGAGCCCAGCATGAGAAATAGGACAGGACAGTGCCTCTCTCTTGCTCTTCTTCTGGGAAGAAAATGATGGTACTCTGCTACAACTTCCCAAGCCTGAGAGAGGGAAATAGAAAAAAAACCCCAAGAGGTGGAAAACTGGGGACAGAATTAATTGCTGGGCAGAGCACAGGCAGATGTGGGGGTGAGAAATCTTGAAGCAGAGGCCTAAATCATCTTGCGCAATACATTTATCACACGCATACTGAGGATGGGAAAGGGAAATTTAACAAAATCAAGACCAATCAAAACCCACACTACTTTCTTCTAAAATCTCGGGATTTATGATCTCTTGAGGTTTGCAATGCCCGAAAAAAATAACTACTGCTCCAGTTGCCCACTGCTATAATTAACATTAAATAATAGTAGGTAATGCTGAACATTATAAGCTAGCATGTGTTTACACATATGAGGTATTAAATAGCAACATGAAGTAACTGATCTTCTTTAATTCTCACCAAATCATTCTTTGGGCAGTTAAACCAGAAACTACCATGAACAACAGTTCTGAATAGCAAAGTACACTGCAAACTGGCACAATAGTTGGGAGTCTAGACAAGGGTATCACTGCAAGCACTGGAGGCTAAGTACACTGCAGATGCCTAGTGCAACTGGTGGTCCCAGTCTCATTCACAGCAATGTTCAGTGCTGTATCAGGCAAACTTGAAAAGGACAAGTGCTCTCTGCAGTCATAAGAAAACAAATGCAACAAAGGTTTAGATGCTCAAAGTTATTGGTCTTAATTCTGTACTGAGTGTGGCTTGTGGAGGGCTAGAGCTCAAACTATTTGGCCATTGCCAACATGGGGCAGAAGAGACAGACTGATTCCATGAGATGACCCGAGATGATGATGCCAGTGTTTACTTCACTTAAAAACAAGCATTAAAAGAAAATGTGAAACCATTGTCTTGATCACTACTTGAACTACTGCTCTCTGCAGATTGTAATGAGGGTACTTGTACCTTTTAATGCTTCATTAATGTAACTCTTATAGTAGTGTATTCGCCAAGTGTCATTTAGGCCTAGGTCGCCACGTTCAGAAATCCCATTCTCCGTAACATAAATTGGAGGGTTATTATATTCTTCCTTTATCCACTTCAGGATCTTTCTGAAGCCGAAGGGGGTCACCTTTAACCAGAAGGAACCAGAGCCCAGCCAGCTGCGATCAGTTATTGAAGCTACCCCCCTGTGGATGAAAATCAGAATATAACACCAATAAAACACCTTATTCTGTCCCTTCCACAGCTTAGGCCAAGGATCATATTGTACGTTATTTAGCTGTATTTACAGCAGTGCCTACAGGTTCCAGTCAGGGCTTTGTACAGAGAGCCAGTTCCTTCCCTGACGACCTTACTCAGATTCAATAGTATATGCTCTATAATGAACAAAAATGGTAACAGATCACATGAATTAGCTGCTTGAGAAGCTCTATCCCTCAACTTCTGGGTCTTTGGGGCTGAAGTAAGAGAAGCGATAGCACAAAAGCTGGCAGTCCTCACCAAAAACTACCCCTGGAGAGGAGAATGTTCAGGGAAGCAGGGAAATCAGGCAGCACATATAAGGGAGAAGAGACTTGGGTACAGTTTGCAAGAGCAGAAATGAAGGGAAGCAGGAAATTGAGTGGCATGTGAAGGTTGAGAAAACCACTAGGTGGCAGGGAAGGAAAGGGGCTTGAGGGGAGAGAAGAACAGAGCAAATGATTTTTAATTTTATTTTTTTTGGGGGGGGGAGGGTGAAAGAACGTAATGGCTAATTGTTTTGCAAAAGGTAGGGCAAAAATCAAATTTAATTCAAGGCAGTAACACAAAAGAACCTTTGCTTTAGCATTACTTTCCCCCAGGTAAGTAGTTGCTATGGCAGCCTTGAGAAAAAGGTGTCATTCTAATTGGGTGTGGGGAATGTGATCCTGACTTGTCTATTAAGATGTAGTCCATCACGAAAGAGTTCCAGAACCACTGGCTTAAGCTATGTTAAAAGCTAGCTGGTGTGCGCAGTCTCTCAAGTAATTTCATTTAGTGTTCTCCTGGAGGATCTACTGTCTGTAGCTAAATACTTTAGACCCTCCAAGAGAATTTTCAGTCTTGCTTTCCTTGTGCATCAAAGACAATTTTGGGGACACAAGCAATGCAAGACTGAGTCCATAGTATGTATAGTTTTTGGTTAAAATAATAAAGAAGGATTCAAGCTTCAAACAATGGCAGGTTTTAGAGAGCTACTAGGTTCAAGGGAGTTTATGTACAACTGGTTTAAAAACTCAAAAAAAGCACCAAAAAAAATAGGACTTCTAAGATACATAGGCTACATCTACACTGCTGGTTTTGCCAGCAGTGAGTATGCTAATGAGGCATGGATTAGCATATCGCCGTGCCAGCATTTTTGGGCAAAGGGTTTCTGGGTGGAAAAAAAAGTAGTGTGGATGTTTTCTTTTTGCACAAAAACCCCTATTCCCGCCAGATCAGTAAACCTCCTTTTTGGGGGCATAAGGAGGTGTTGGGAAAAGGGGTTTTTGCACAAAAAGAAAACATCCACACTACTTTTTTTCCTGCAAAAACCCTTTGCGCAAAACTGCCTTGCATGATTTATGCAAATGAGGTGAGGTGATATGCTAATTGGCACCTCATTTGCATACTCTGCCGGCAAAACCAGCAGTGTAGACTTAGCCAGAGAGTACTAAATTTGACAGGATTTTTCTGCAGTCCTTTACATTGTTTGTGAGGGATGCTGTGATCTCTAGAGAAACCTGCCCTCTGTGGGATGTGCTCCTATCATGGGGTATGTCTACACTACAGCGCTAATTCGAACTAACTTAATTCGAACTAACATGTCCACATTAAGTGGACCCTGAACCGGGGTTAAGGATGGCCGGAAGCAGTGCCGGCAGGACATCAGATGAGGACTTAGAGTGTGGAGCTGCTGCCTCAGGCTAGCTGAGGGCTGTGCTTAAAGGGACCCGACCCCCACTCCAGACAGACAGTTCTCAGGGGTGCCCCGCTTGCAAAGCAGTCCTGGCTTGGAGTGCCCTGAGTGCCCACACTGGGCACATCACAGCACTCGGCCATCAGACCGGCTGCACTTGCCGCAGGCTGCCATCTGGGGAGGGGAGGCAATTGGGGGGCTGCAGGAGAGCTTCCACCCCCAGAAGCCCGCAGAGCCAGCCCAGTCCCCCCCATCGGGGGCTCGTACCCCATTCCTCCCTCACCTCCTTCCACTTACCCTTCCCTAGCCCCCCTTCCTGATGTACAAAATAAAGAAAACGTGTGGTCAAAAATAGAATCTCTCTATTGAACAAAACTGGGGGAGACTGGGAAAAGGAGGTGGGAGAGGGGAAGAGAGAGGGTGGGAGAGGGGAGGGCAACTACAATGATGAGGGGTTTGGAACAGGTCCCATATGAAGAGAAGCTAAAGAGACAGGGACTTTTCAGCTTAGAAAAGAGGAGATGGAGGGGGGATATGATAGAGGTCTATAAAAGCACGAGTGGGGTGGAGAGGATGCATACAGAAAAGTTCTTCATTAGTTCCCATA